TTAAATCATATGTGTTGGTGTTTTTTGGGGGGGAGGGGGGAAATAATTACCACAGGCCAGAAAATGGAAGGCTGGAGGCTGAAATGGACTTGCACAGATCTGCTTTGAGATTATACATAATGCAAACTCTCCCACCGACCCGAGGCCATCAGGGCTCATGTAGAAATATTTCCCCCCCCCTTTTGTTTACTGTATGTGAAAACTTCTTACCTAAGTATGAGTTTGTGCATATTTCTATCTCATGAGTGTCAATGGTAAATAAAAAGTAATACTGAAAACCAGAAGTTATTTGACAACACCATACCATCATACAATAGACATCCACCACTTTCCCCTCTGATATGCTTGTAAATTATACGAAACATGCACTCAAATATGCAAGGGAAACTTAACTCAGTCACACTGTAAGCTAGTGTGAAGTGTCTGGAATACTGCAGTGAAAGAATCAAGAGAATATCTTGTTGGGTACACGAGAAACTGCAAGTTAAAACACTAGTGACAGTAGCTGGAAACTGCAGAGCTCAGGGAATGTTATGCCTACATTTGATGACGTCACGACGTGGTGGTCAGGCCTTCCATATAGGGGGTGGTGCCCCAGCTCCTTCCCTCTGGCCAGTGGTGCACTACTGGTTCATATGAAGAAGCCACATCACAGTAATAGCACTGTGCACCTGAGAGATCTTTTTGAGCCTGCCTTGGTAGGGAGGGCGGGGTACAAATCGAATAAAATAAATACATAAATAGCTGCCTGCAATTGCTTGGAATGTCCAGGACACAAAGTGTGGGGCGTGAAGATGCCTGCAACTGAGTAAAGGAGGTGAGAGCCAGGCAGCTCTCCCCCACCCACCCCGCCCGACAGCCGATGAGAACTCTTGTATTGTAAACCTCGATCATGTCACCCCTCAGTCGTCGTTTCTCCAAGCTAAAGAGCCCCAGGCCTATTTCTACAGGGAGCTGTGGCCCCCTGGCCCCCACCTGGTGGAACTCTCTGCCAGAGAACATCTGTGCCCACTAGGAGTTGTTACCTTTCCGCAGAGCATGTAAGGCAGACATATTCCTCCAGACATTTGGTTCGGGACAGCAGGTAGTCCGGCACTCATCCCCTCCATTCTCCACAAGCCCCCCCCCCCCCAAGAGGCTTGTGAAATCTGAAATTTTCTCACCCTCTTGGAGGGGACTAAAAATTATTGCTCATGTATGCACTATGTATTTTATTATAGGATTTTAACTTCTAGTTATTTATTGTATGTTCCTTTCTGTTGTAAGCTGCCCTGAACCCTGCTTGCAGGGAAGGACAGCCTAAAAATCTAAATAAATAAATATGGCGGGAGGGGTGCCGGTCATGTCCAACTTTCAAGATCGGGACCAGCCAAGGAAAAGACATCCATCCAATCTTGATGATCCTGGACAGACTGTAAACCACAGAGCACCCGGTGTCTGCACTAAGCGTCCCAGTTGCATGTTTTAAGGGAAGGCCCACAGAACAGCAGTGCAAACTCAAGTTTCTCAGCTGCGCAGGAAATATGACAAGGAGGCATTCTGATCTCAAAAGGACAGGGTATTCACAGCAAGCTCCTTTAGGGCTGGCCATGTTAGTCTGCTGCACCCAAAACAAGAGGCATCCAAAGTTGACTGGGGAAGAGAGACAAACCGGGAGGGAGGACCAGTTAAGACGGGGTGTCAAACATAAGGCCCGTGGGCCGGAACCGGCCCATCCAGGGCTCTTATGTGGCCCGTGAGCTACTGGTGCAAGGGAGGGAACAGGAGACTGGTCAGGGGGAAGTGGGCAGAGCCACTCCAATTGTGGCTCCAGCGTGGCGGAACAACCTCGTCTGCAGCAGTCAAGCAGCGTGGGAGCGTCTGCCCAGTGCTGCACCGCTGGCTCTCCAGTCCGCCCATGTGGGTCTTCCTTCGCACCCCCCTCCCACCCCAGGGGGCCTTGCAGTGAGGACACACCAACTTGGAGCTTACCAGCTACTGTCCTTGATACAGTTTATATCTCCAGTATCTGGCATTATGTTTTATGGCACACGTGGCCCAGCCTGACATAGTGACGTTTATGTCAGATCAGGCCCTCGAAACAAATAAGTTCAACACCTCTGAGTTAAGAGAAGGTCGCAACCAATTAGCTTGTACAATGAAACTGCAGTCTGTATCCAAGACAAACACTGCAAAAAAAACCCTCCACTGATTCTGGTCATGGCACAAATGGGGGTCCTGGCCAGGCACAGAGTGCTCATGTAGCCTGACCCCATAGTCAACAGCTGACTGAGATCGCAGCAAGGTAGTCTCCAAAAACCAGCCAACCTTAGTCGGGCTGCTTCCTCCATTCTCAGCCAGCAGGGGGAGCTCCATAATGAGAAACTGCCCTTGCTGAAAGTGAGAAGCCGCGGAAGCCCAGATATGGCCCCTGATCACAAGGCAAGGTAAAGTAAGGCGGAGGACCTGGGATGACTGAAAGGGAGGCAAAAAAACCATCTGATGCACCCGGACGGGACAGAGGCACAATCCACTGAGAAGTTCTCCAGTCACACTGAGCTTGCCCAGGAGAGCTTTCTAGTAGAGTGTGTCCTGTGTTATTTATTTCTTCATTTCACACACACTCTGCCTTTCTCCTCAATGGGGACCCAAAGCAGCCTTCTCCTCTCTTCTGTTTTATCCTCACAACAACCCTGCGAGGTAGGATAGGCTGAGAGAATGTGAATGGCCCAAGGTCACCCCAGAGACTTTCCGTGGCACACTTGCTAACGGAAGCTGAGGAGGTGGTCTTTGGATTTTGCACCTGAGTAACCTACTATCTTGGATTAACCTGGTAGAAGCTTTGTGAAGGCTGCTGAAGAAGATAAATGATGACCAGTTGGGGCTGTTCTGCCCCAAAATGACAGGGCTCGAGCTCCACAAGTCCTCCGTCTTCCCTGCCGAGCTCTGGATGCCGAATTTCACCCCTCTGAAGGACCGGCTCTGTAACGTTTTGCTCTTTTCTGAGACCCCTCATATGTAACACCTCCCTGTAGAGCCATCAAAGGGCTCTTGCCTTCGAATTTTTAGCTGGGCCCAAAGAACAGGACAGTGGGAAGGGCCGCTCTCAGGTAAAAGGGGGTCGTTTTGTCTAAACAAAACAGTTCTCTTAAACATAAATGGAGTTTATTTAGAACTATAACAGTGTAATGGTTTCAGTAAAGCTCATAAGCATAATGGTTTCAGGAAGGTACAATTCTTCTTTCTCTAACATTCCTCAAAAAGACCTAGCCACAAAGTCTTATTTTGTCATGCCACTTAGGTTAATAACTTCCACAAAGTTTAATTTCCTGACTTGTCTGTTAGGCTCAGAATTTCCTGAAAGGTTTTATGTCTTCACTTACCGCTTAGGCTCATAACTTCCGTGCAGAGCACGGACTTCTCTCACACTCCACAGCACACTAAATCTCTCCGCCCTCCCCACACACAAACCAGTCAACTCCACCCCCTTGGATGCAGCTACCATGCAGTCATAACACACTACAATCACCCATCTGGTTGCCCTCTTTCTTACTTGAGAGGCCTACATTTTAATCCACAGTGACATACATATAAAACACCCCACTAAATCACAGAATCATCCAGAGAGGGCCAAAGTACATGCATGGTTTGGATATCTTTTGTCAGCAAGTGTGAGGAGGGTCACTTCCAGGTTTTGGGGGGTCCTGAGCAGACAATGCCCAGGGACCCCCTCTGCCCCTCACCAGGACCTCCTCGTGGCCTCTTCACCAGCCCATGCATGCCTCCCCCCCCTTGCAGGCTCTCCCACCACCCATGCTCAGTTCCCTGCACCACCCCCATGTCCTTCTCCAATGATGCTGAGCAACTGGGAGCACGGGCACAGACGGGGGGGGGGGGGGCCACAGTGGCAGTGAGCCCCGCCAGATGTCCTGGGCCTCGGCCCCTGCCCCATCTCAGGGCACGCTGAGGTCGGCTGTGAGTGAGACAAACCGAAGCATCAAGACACAGGAAAACACAAACAGTAGCTGAGCTCGGCGGAAAGGAGAGCGCTATGCTGATACTGTACCTCTCACGGTCCTGGGCACAGTTGTTGACAGTCAAGGTGTTCTGCGATTCGCACACTCCACTCTGACGCCGAGTTTGCTCAGTCCGTGCTGGTAGCCGGCCTTCCACCTCCGCTAGCCAGCCCTGAGATGAAAACGAGAAACAAAATTCATACTCCTGACTTAAGCACCCTTAAAAATGTCGGGCTAGAGTTTACAACTGATTGGCTGAGTTCACCTCAGTGTTAATGGGCTCAAATGCACTCTCAAAGGTAAACAATTCTATTCACTTCTGTGGCAGACGGGGGGGGGGGGGGAATGTCAACCACTGCTTTGTTGAGCCGGGGCCAATGTTCCCTCTAATCTGTGGAGTCTTGTGAGCAAAAATTCTACTTGGTGAGCTACCGGCATTAAAGTTGTGTGTGAGCAATTTGTCTACTGTGTAAATTAGTTTGCTCTGGAGCCCTCCTTCCTGAGCCAAGACAAAAATCTGTGAGCTGGAGACTAAAAAACTATGAGCTAGCTCACACTAACTCAGCTTAGAGGGAAGACTGGTCGGGGCCATAGCCTACCCATCCTGTCCCTTGGAGTCCACATCTTCTGAGAGAGGGGGTGTGTTTTGCTGCACGTGAACCAGCCACTGAGTGGCACTCCTCGCGCTCACTTCCTGTCTCCACTGTTCATTTTTATGACTCGCGATCCCAGGCACACACACGCCCCCTTGGGGAGAGGATGATGCAGAGGCAAAGGGACGTGCAGATGCCATCCTCACCTGCTCCCACCCTGATCGCTTCGGCTTTCACAGCAGGGGCACCTTTTCCACCCACATGGACCAAGCGTCACTGAGTCACGAGGAGGGGCTGTGGCTCAGGGGAAGAGCCTTTGGTTTTGCAGGCAGAAGGTCCCAGGTTCAATCCCTGGCATCTTCAGTTGAAAGGATCAGGTAGGAGGTGATGTGAAAGACCTCTGCCTGAGACCCTGGAGCGCCACGGCCAGTCTGAGTAGAGTCTTTGAATGCTTTTGGGGAGAGGTCTGATTCAGTATAAGGCAGCTTCAGGTGCCTGTGTGACCCCTCCTGAAAGTATGGCCTCTCTCACTCCAGAGAGATACATTCCACTTACATTACGTAGATATTCGAACAGGTTTTATAGCAAGTCAGATCACTGGTCTATCTTGTCCACAGCTCTTTACACTAATGGGCAGTAGCGACCCATGGGAGTCTGGTGAATGTCCTTCCCAAGACCTGTTCTCTAAGATCCTTCAGCTGAGAGCCAAATGTAAGGCCTTTTGTCTACAGAGGGTCGTCTCTGAAAACATTTCTCCAGCCTCTTGTGCTTGCCCACTCCAGAACAGCTGATTTCGGGAGGGGTGTTCAAAGACCTGAGTCAGATTGAGGTGACGAGAGAGGAGGTCCTAAAACTGATAGACAACTTAAAAACTGATAAATCACCAGGCCCAGATGGCATACATCCGAGAGTTCTGAAAGAACTCAATTGTGAACTTGTGGATCTCCTTACAAAAATATGTAATCTTTCCTTAAAATCTGCCTCCATTCCTGAGGACTGGAAGGTAGCAAATGTCACTCCCATCTTTAAGAAGGGTTCCAGAGGAGATCCGGGAAATTACAGGCCAGTCAGTCTGACGTCGATACCGGG